AAAAAAAAAAAAAAAAAAGGAGGCAATGATTAATGGTTTGAAAAGAAGAGGAGAGGATTTATTTTAGAAGTATTTGCTAGATTGAGCTAACAGCTTCCTGTGTAAAAAATAAAAATTATGGCCTTCAACTGATAGGCATATTTTTGCCACCAAATTCCCTAAGAAACCTAATTATAAAATAACCATCCAATACTTTTCATAATCATTTATGATCTAACTAAAATACATTACAGTTCAATATATGCAAATATACAGATATAAGCAGTTATATTCATACCAATTTAATAAGATTATTTTGGATTAGCATAGGCAAAGTTTTGAAAATGATGTTTTCCAGGGAGTAAGCAAAACACGCATGAGGACAGATTTGCTTACTGTTTAGGTATAAACATAAAACTAAGATTCATCCCTTATAATAGTTTGAGATGGAAGAAATCAAATGTTCCCAATTTAAATCATAAAATAAGCATTTGGTCTGAAAAAGAGTCAGCATACCTGGGAACATTATTGTTTGAATCTTCACTTTCATTTGCCAGGCCACCAAACAAATAGCATTTGTTACCATATAAAGAAAAGCTATGTCCAAGCCGAGGACAAGGAGGTAAACCAGAAGAAGGGGGTTGGGGTCTCACTTTCTTCCATAACCAACGACTTGCCTGAAAAAAAGCAAAAATATGCAAAGATAAAATCAGGAAAGCACTCCTATCCTGTCAAGAGTGCAACATGAGACCATAAAACAAACAAAACAAAACACTGCTGACAAGTTGGTTCCAACTCACTGCAATCCTACAGGATAGAATAGAACTGCCGCATAGCATTTCCAAAGCCATAGATTATTATGGAAAGATAGCCACATCACTCTCCCATGAAGCAGTTGGTGAGTTCTAACCACTGACCTTTTAGTTAGCAGCCCAGCGCTTAACTACTATGTCACCAGGGCTCCTTAAAATCAGAACAATATATTTTAATCCAAATCTAACCATAAAGCTCTATTTAAAGGCATTCTGGGGACAAATGACAAGTAAGCAGCTAACTTCTGGAATTAAAATAAATGTTCTAACAGAAATTCAGCCTAGTTTTCCATATTCACAGCTTTCCACAATAGCAAACTAAGATAATAATAAATTCTAACAGTTCTAAAGTGTTTACTAAATGAAAAGCAGAAATAGTAAATAAAACTTTAATCAAATGTAATTTATGTATTTCTACTTTCTGAAATTAGAGATCTGGTAGCGTAGTGCCTAAGGCAGTTGACTGCTAACCAGAAGGCTGGCGGTTCAATCCCACCAGCCTCTCGGAGGAAGGAAGGTTAGGCAATCTACTTCCGTAGTGATACTGCCTCGGAAACCCAAGGAGGGGTCGCTGTGAGTCAGGGCCAACTCAACAGCACATAACAACAACTAACAACTTTCTGTAATTAGGGAATCCATGAACAGTATGCATTTTTACCTTTAAATAAACATAAAGTTCATTTAACAAACTTAACTCCGAAACTTATTCTCTGGTCATTGATTATTTTCTTTATCTGAAGCTATTGTTGAAATGTGTTGCTTGTAAGTAGGTACAATCTATGCATGTATGCCAATTAGCAGATATCCTCATGATCATGGCCCCAAAATCATGTACAGTTCAGAAAGTAAAGTCAACTAGAGCTGCCAATGAGTCTAGTTTAATCAGACAGTCAAGTTTAGAAAGGATATATGAATCCATTACCCTTCTTTTATATGTATTATCAAGAAAAAAAAGGTGATTATTGGCGTGATGGTAACAATTTCTATAAAAGTAAGACAGTGGTTCAAAGTATGGTCTGGGGACCAGCAGCACTAGCTAGGAATGTGTTAGCAAGATCAATGATCAGTTTTCCACCACAGATCTTCTAAAGAGTCAGAAACTCTAAGGGCAGAGCCCAGCAATCCATTTTCACAAGTCTTCCAGGAACTTCTGTCTTCAGGCTGAAGTTTGGAACTACTGTACAAAGATACAAAAACCTACATATACGTACCATTGATACTAAGTAATAAATGTCTTAACACTGTAATTGTAGCATTAAGTATTGAAAAAAACTTCCTTTAGAAACTTTTAGCTTTTTAATGAAGAGGAAACATTTCCTTTGAAACTGTAAAATGTGAAGCCCACACCATTTTAAATGTTAATGAAATATTTTGCAAACTTTTGATGAGTTACTGAAGTTTCAGATTGAGATCATTAAGTTGAAATACACTTACCTGCAATTCATATAAGTCGTTGCTGTATCTTCCATATTCAACCATTCCCCCAAATACTAATATTCTGGTACCATCACAGACAAATCCATGGGCAGCACAGCCTGGAGGGATGTCTCCTCTAACAGCTGGTAAGAACCACTGATTCGTAACTAGTTGCCAAAATAAAATGAAAACCAATTATAATAAACAACAGCTCCCACCTATTATGTGGCATGTACTTCATATCTATCATCTGTGTCAGTGGTTCTCAACTGGGAATGATTTTGCTCCCCAGGGGCCATTTGGCAATGTCTGGAGTCATTTTTGGTTGCCAAAACTAAAGGGAGTGGAGAAGAGCATTAGGGGAAAGTGCTACAGGCATCTAGTGGGTAGAAGCTAGATATACAGTTCAACAACTTACAACGCGCAGGAAAGCCCCCCACAACGAAGAATTACCTGGTCCAAAACGTCTGTTTGAGAAACCCTGATCTTTACCATTTCTTTCAAAAATCCTGCTAGATGGATATCATCATTTCCATTTTATAAATGAAAAAATGCGAGGCTTACAATGGTTTAGTAACTTTAGTCCTGATCCTGGTAAACTGGCAGGGCAAGATTCAAACCAGGTCTAAGCCAGGGCTTGTACACTGTATTAAACTGTCAAATAACTTTTGAACTTTACATGCTAGGGTGCGGGGTGGAGAAGAGGGCAAACAATAAAATCTTCCTTACTCCGCTTGTTCACCTTTAAATGGCCACTATGATTAAGTTATTTTGTCAAAGAAAGAAATTTATTGATGGGGAAATAGACTCAAAATTCAGCAATTAGCCTTACACAAAAAGAAACATGACAGCTGGAGCAATTGCAAGTGGGGAAAAATGAAATGCCAAACTCCTTTCTATGCCTCTGTAGCCAGAGGCACCTGGAATTAGCAGTAGAGCCCAGGCGATGACAGTTCTTTCCGAGGACCAGTTAAGGAAAACGCTCGCGAGCGAGCTTGGGCACCCACCGCACACACCCAACTACCTACCTATGCAGAGGAAACGCCAGTCTCCCCCACGAACCACTTCCCCGCCAGTTTAGAGTTACCAATGGGGCAAATCTTAATTGCCACCTGCCAAATACGGAGCTGTATTTGGGGCGAAAGTACCAGAATGCCTCTCGTTTTACCTCGTCAACCCCCAGAATCTCTTCCTCCTAAGGAGTTTGAAGAAAGGCAGGAGGAGCTCTGGTTTTGAGCTGGTTTGGTGTTTTGCAGGGGAGGAATCCCTGCGCCCTGGAGTAGGTGAGAGTGCGCGGAAAGGCCCAGGCGGATAGCAGCTCTCGCTCGCTTACGTCCGCCAGCAGGGCTGGGCGGGGGTGGGGGTGGAAAGGGGCGCGGCACCGCCTGCCAGAGGGCCGGCGCGCCCCGTTCGGGGTTCGGTCCCGCCCAGCTGGCCTAGAAAACGGAGCTGCCACCCGAGACACTGAGGGACCGCAGCCGCCTGGCCGAACCGCGCTCCCCGTCGCCTGTCCGGGGAGGCAGTGACTGCAGAGGTCTGGGAGCCGGGCAGTGACAGCTGTCAGGGCCGCGGCTGCCTGCCTCGTTTCCCCTCCCCCCCCAGTGGCTCCGTAGGTTCGGCAGAGGAACCGCCACCGCCGCGCATACCAGTGTTGTAGACGTGCAGCTCGTCCGCGATGCCCTCGTTGCCCCCTCCAAAGATGATCATCAGCTCCCGGATGGCCACGGCCCGGTGTCCGTGCCGGGCGCGGGGTACTGGCCCCGTGAAGGAGGAAACCCGCCTCCAGTTAAGGAGGCTGGGAGCAGCCATCTTCCCAACCCCCGCCCCTCTGCCCACAATGCACTGCGCCCGCTGCAACGCCGCCGCTCCGGGGGAGGGCGGGGACCCGCCTCCAGCTGTACGGCGGGAGGGCGTCACGTGACCCCAGGCGCCCGAGGCGAGCCTGGGGGCCCGCTAGGGGGCTAGGAGTCTAGGCGCTGGAGACTCACTCCGGCTCTCCGCCTTCTCCACCTCAGGCGTTACGGCCGCCTCAGGTGAATTTTCGGGTGGGGGAGACTTTTCTTACGGACCAAGTCCCCCTCTACACCCAAAGCCCTCGTTTTGTATCTTCGAGAGAAGGTACTGGACAGCGTTTTCCTTCACGGCTACATGAGTAAGCATGTATGATGTTCCAGGCTGCGCTGGGCTGGTCCCAGGGAAGGACGTGGGATGATAAAACGGTGGATGCCTCGGTGTAGCGAGGAGTCAGACCCTTTAACCAATTAACACACAACGCGAGGAAAGCTCAAATGAAGGTGCGAAGTGCTGTGAACGCAGAGAGGAGGCGGGAGATCTGTCTTGGCAGACCCGGTGAGGAGCACGCCTGAGGGGTGCTGAGGCTCCAAGGTGCTTGAGAGGGAGAGAGGGCATCCCGGCGTCGGTGCAAGCGAACTGCGAGAGTAAAGGCGGGGAGCGTGGACGAAGAGCAAAGCCCGAAAAGGCAAACTGAAGCCAGGAAGTGCAGAGCCAAGAAGTTTAGAAACAGTGAGCAATGAAAAGTTTTTTTTTGCTTCGTGTTGTTTAAGCAAGTGACAGTTATACGTAGATTTGTTTTACTACTAGTTAACATTGGAGAGGTATCCATTCATTGCCAAGCATTTAGATGTGTTAGCTCATTTGATCCTCCAAGTAATCTCCTGTGAAGTGGCTACCATTGTTACCTCACTTTGGTGGATTGGGAAATGAGGCTCGGAGAGGTAAAGTAATTTCCCTATGGACACACAGCAGAAAGAGGTTAGGACTAGGATTCAAACAAAAGACTTCTAAATCAGGAGCCCCTCCCTGAATCATTGTGCAATACTGCCTCAGGTAAGTCATATGTAACCTTCTTAAAGCCCTTGTCTTGTGTTCAAGGGCCTCAGATGGCAGGAATGGTGAAGCACTCTTCAACTACAAGAAAGGTTGGCAGTTTGAACCTACCCAGAGGTGTTACAGAAGATGAGCCTAGTGATCTACTTAAGACACGTGAGATGGCCTTGAGTCAGAACCAACTCCACTGGCAATTAACAATAACAACATTGTCTTCTGTTCCTACACAGAATCCCACTAAAAAAAGATAAAATCCAGCAGAGAGGAAAAAGAAAACAATTAAAAATCCCTACCTCATTTCAAGAAAGTACCAAAAGAGGACCACACACAATGTACTATAGCAAACTTCCTGAAAGTTTTCCTAATCTCTTTTCCTCTTTTCAAGGAGCTCTGGTGGTGCAGTGCCTAAGACATTTGATTGCCAACCAGAGGGTTGGCAGTTCAAACCCACCAGCCACGCTACAGAAGGAAGACGGGGCAATCTACTTCCGTAAAGATTTACTGCTTAGGAAACAAATGGGGGTCACTGTGATTTGGAATGGACTCAATGGCAGTGGGTTTGGTTTTGGGAATCTCATTTTCATTTTCTATCATATCTAGTTCCTTCTAAGTTCCTCCAACCTAAACATGCCTATTTACCTTCTCACCTATCTAAGCTTTCTTTTGAGAGATGGTTCATTATCTTTTTAAAGTACTTCTCACTGTTCTCTCCAGCTCCTGCCTTTCAATTTCCCCTTTTTCAAGTTGACTCCATTACCCCAAACTCATAACAAGGACAAAGAGAATTTGAGCAGGGAAGGAAGCTGGCTGGTGAACAAAGGAAAAAGATTATGAATATGTATGCATTAATACTTGTTTACATGCATAAGAAGGGCTTTCAAATGTTCCTGTTATAAATATTTTATGAATTTGCACCAAAAAAATTGAATTAAATCAGTAAGTTTTTCCATAAAGCCAAAGTATTGTATTTACAGGACTGTATCCTGAGGGTTTAATGTTAAAAATATCTTTACTTTTAGAATAGTGGTACAAGTAGATGTAGATTGCAAATCCTATGTTCATCCCCAAGTATAAAAAGAATGATACATGGAAAATCTGGGAACCATTTAACCAGGGGAAAGGTGAAGGCAAAATATTCCTAACACAAAAAAAGATGGCAAGTTATAGCTGGTGTTTTAGATAAGGAACTGCAGTACAGTGGAGGAAGGGCTTTTTCTAATGGGAAGGAAATATTAACAAGAACAGTTTTGATTCACCTCTTCTTAAACGAGGAAGTCTAGAATAAGTCCCCAGTTGTCAAGAAAACTACCCTTAAACTTTGAAACCACAGTGTCTTAGTTCTCTAGTGTTGCTATAATAAATAGCACAAGAGGATGGCTTTAATATTCATGAAATTATTCTCTTATAGTTTATGAGTACATGGGAATCAGACTGACTACATCTGTGGCAAGAGGTGATGGAGAAGCTCAAAATCTTTAGCCAAAACAAGGCTAGGAGCTGATTGTGGAACAGACCATCAATTGCTCATATGCAAGTTCAACTTGAAGTTGAAGACAATTAAAACAAATCCATGAGAGCCAAAATATGACCTGGAATATATCCTTCCTGCATTGAACACCAGTGACCAAAAACCAGAAGAATTGTAGGATGACATCAAGAATATCATCCATAAAGAATGCAAGAGGTCATTAAAAAGATGAGAAAGGAAGAAAAGACCAAAATGGATGTCAGAAGAGACTCTGAAACTTGCCATTGAGTGGAGAGTAGCTAAAGCAAGTGAAAGAAATGACAAGATAAAAGAGCTGAACCAAAGATTTCAAAGAGCAGCTGTAGCGGACAAACCCAATTACTATAATGAAATGTGCAAAGATCTGGAGTTAGAAAACCAAAAGGGAAGAACACTTCAGCTTTTCTCAAGCTGAAAGAACTGAGGAAAAAATTTAAGCCTCGAGTTGCAATATTGAAAGATTCTATGGGCAAAATATTAAATGATGCAGGAAGCATCAAAAGAAGATGGAAGAAATACACAGTCACTGTACCAAAAAGACCTGATCAATCTTCATCCATTTCAGGAGGTGGCATATGATCAAGAACCAATGATATTGAAGGAAGAAGTTGAAGCTGCACTGAAGGAGTTGGCGGAATACCCATCAAGATGTTTCAACAAATGGATGCCCCACTGGAGACACACACTCAGCCATGCCAAAAGATTTGGAAGACAGCCATCTGGCCAACTGACTGAAAGAGATCTATATTTGTACCCATTCCAAAGAAAGGTGATCCCATAGAGTGTGGAAATTAATGAACAATATCATTAATATTGGATGCAGGTAAAATCTTGCTGAAGATAATTCAAAAACGGTTGCAGCAGTATATTGACTGAGAACTTCCAGAAATGCAAGCTGATTTCAGGAGAGGACATGGAACAAGGGATATCATTGCTGATGTCAGATGGATCTTGGCTCAAAGCAAGGAATACCAGAAAGATGTTTACTTGGGTTTTATTGATTATGCAAAAGCATTTGATTGTGTGGATCATAATAAAGTATGGGTAACACTGGGAAGAATGGGAATTCCAGGACACTTCATTGTACTTATGAGGAACTGTACATAGACCAGGAGGTTGTTGTTCAAACAGAACAAGGGGACACTGCATGGTTTTAAATCAAGAAGGGAATGTGTCAGAGTTGTATCCTTTCACCACACTCTTTCAATCTGTATGCTGAGCAGATAATCCAAGAAGCTGGACTATATGAAGAAGAATGTGGCATCAGGATTGGAAGAAGAATCATTAACAACCTTCAATATGTTGATGACACAACTTTGCTTGCTGAAAGTGAGGATGACTTAAGGCACTTACTGATGAAGATTGAAGAATACAGTCTGCAGTATGGATTATATCTTAATATAAAGAAAAAAAAAAAAACCCTCACAACTGGACCTATAAGCAACATCACGATAAATGGAGATAAGATTGAAGTTGTCAGAGACTTTTCTTGGTTCTACAATCAACGCCAATGGAAGTAGCAGTCGGGACATCAGAAGATGCGTGGGCAAATCAGCTGCAAAGGACCTCTGTCAAGTGCTGAAGAGCAAAAATGTCTCCTTGAAGACTAAGATGCGCCTGACCCAAGCCATGGTATTTTCAATCACCTCATATGCATGTGAGAGCTGCACAATGAATAAAGAAGACTGAAGAAGAGTTGATGCTTTTGAGTTGTGATGCTGGCAAAGAATGCTGAAAGTACCATGGACTGCTAAAAGAACTAACAAATCTGTCCCAGAGGAAGTGCAGCCAGAATGCTCCTTGGAAGCAAGAATGGCCAGAATTTGTCTTACCTACTTTGGTCATGTTGTCAGAAGGGACCATTCCATGGAGAAGGATGTCATGCTTGGTAAGGTGGAGGGTCGACAAAAAAGGGATAGGCCCTCAACGAGATGGATTGACACAGTGGCTGCAACGATGAGCTCAAGTATAGCAAGGTCCTGGCATGGGACCAGGAAGTGTTTCATTCTGGGTCACTATGAGTCAGAGACAACTTGACAGCACCTAACAACAACAACAACAATAACAGTTTAGGGTGCTGGAAGTCCAAGTTCAGAGTGCCAGCTTGGACTTCAGCTCTGCCTCTTATTGTAGGCCTATTGGAGCAAGCTGGAGGCGTCTCTTAACCCATGCAGCTGCTGACTGTTGAGGCTGATGAACTCAAGATTGACAGGTAGAATGGCACAATCCCCACATCAGTAGGCAACTTGACAGGCCACTGGTTCAAGTTCAGGAACTGGAGATGAAGGCTTAGCCAAGTGCAGGACCCAAAATGGGCCAAAAAGCTAGAGATCTTTCCCAAAGTTTCTACATATATACTGGAAGCAGGCCACACCCTGCAGGTAACTTCCCTTCAACTACTTAGCTACTCACAGCAGATTCTACCATGGACGTGATTACAATCTCATCACAGGGA